AATTCCATTCCAAGTGATTGTTATAAATATTAATTAGTATCAAAATAGGCAGTATCATGTCTTGTAGGACTCTATTCCGATTAATCGATCTAGAGAGGGCTACTTTGAGTATGAGAGTGGTTCCATGGAGTCATCCATTTGAGAAAGATGGATCACCCTTGATATCAGTTGACATAGGAAACGACTTCTAGAGATAGGCAATGTAAATCGTGACATGCCAATGCGAAACCATCGACCCCCACTGATAAGTGTGTTTTTGCACACTTATTTAGGTCACAAACATGACTTAATTACGAATAAAATGATTGAATTGTGACTTAATTTCGTTACATTTGTGAATTGTAGGTAACACCGATGAACACGGTGAAATACATGAGAAAAGACGCGAAAAAGGACTAAAATGACACAAAGTGAAAGTTCAAGGACCAAGGTGCAATTATCCAAAAGTTGACCCGATGAACAAATCAAGAAATTGAGTTTTCCAAATACAAATTGATGAGATTTTGGGATGATGGAATGTGAAAAATGAAGAAAAGATGAAAAGAAGTGGAAGATTCAAGTAGAGGGACCAATTTGCAAAAAAGGAAAGTTGAATTCTACCATGCGGTCGCATGGTAGAAATCTCGTGCGGCCGCATGAAGGGATGCAGGGAATTCAATTGGAAATATGGAATAACTATGCGGCCACACGGATTAAAACCATGCGGTCGCATGGTACGTTTTTGGCGCGATTTTTTTCTTTCCTTATACGATTGAAACACCTTTGGTAACCTAATTTTCCACGGGATATAAATATCAAAAACATTCCAGAGATGAGGAGAACGCAATTGGAGGCCGAAAAACACTTCTTGGAGAGGATTTCAGCGTAAGAACAAAGATTGGCACGAAGAACTTCAAGATTTCATAACCCGGTGATGTCTTTTATTCAAAACATGATGTATTTTGTTATTTTAATCATGTTTGGCTAGATTTTTATTATGCTAGGAGATCGATGAACCATGTGATTTGCATTTTAATATCCTCATTTTGCAATTTGATGTTAAGACACAATTTTTATTGTTTTGAATGATTTATAGGCAATTAATGTTTCCGCAATTAAGGGCTCGTAATTATGTGAATTTAAGTGATTTATTCTTGCATTCGAGGAATAGATTTGAAATAATATAAATCATCGTAGGGTCCGATAGTGGATAGAAATATACCGCTATGCCCTACGTGAATCTTTAAGTGTTCATAAAATCGCATGCATTTTTACATATGCTCTTGTCATAGAAATATAGACCGATGGTATGTAGAAATAGGTTTGATACATCTCGAAAGAGAGTATTGGATAGACTTAGGAACATTGACTCGTCACAATTGAAATGTGTTGTCATATTGTGAAACTAGGGTTTAAAGTGATAATTGCATGGGAATTCGTGATCCTAGCGTATTTAATTCCTAATAATTATAACAACGTGCGTTCTCAACTTGTAGATTTCATTTTAGAGCTTTAAATTATTGTTTTGCATATTAATATCAATTTAATCATAAAAAAAATTGCATAATTGGGGTTTAATTAGGTCTACATTCACTTTGGTAATTTAGTTTCGGTTAAGGCTACAGTAGGTAAATTTTGAATTAATCAATCTCTATGGGACGATATTTGGACTCATTTAATTTACTTTATTACTTGTTAACGAACCGTACACTTGTGGTAGTTTTAAATTGAAAGAAAATAATTTCGCGAACAAGTTTTTGGCACCGTTGCCGGGGATTGAGTTTAGTTTAATTTTATTTCTCAAGGCACTAATTCGAACTTAATTTTTATTTTGCTAGTATAATTTTGTTTTTATTTTTTTATTTTAGGTTATTATCCTTTATTTGTGTTTTAGTTATTTAAATTGTTTGAATCTCAGTGCTCGTACTGGTTTTAATTCTCAGATTTGCATGTCACGATTGCCTGGAGGAGAATTGATTCCAGCTGATCCTAAAAGTGAGCGCACTTTTCATCGACGACAAAGAGATCACCGCAAAGCACAAGTACAAATGGCCAACGAATTAAATAATCCTATTATTCAAGCTAACGAAGGAGAGGCAATGGATGAAGGAAATGAAATTCTGGGGGACTTCTTGACTCCTCAAGTTATTCAAAGCCAATCCAGCATTGTATATCCACCGTTTGGGCAGCCCAATTTTCAATTGAAGACTAATGTAATATAGCTATTTCAAAATGGACACCAATTCTATGGCAAAAGAATACACACACACACGTATCTCGATTTCTAGATATGTGTCAACATTTCAGATACCAAGGGATTTCGGATGACACTATTAGGTTAAGGCTTTTTCCACATACGTTACGAGACAGAGCATTTGAATGGTTGGATTCACTCCCGATTGCAAGTATCATTACATGGAATGAGCTGGCACACAAATTCTACATAAAGTTTTTCTCCCCAGCCAAGATAGCGAAGCTGAGACGTGACATATCAGTATTCAATCAAGGAGAAACTGAATCATTTGACGAAGCCTGGAACAGATTCAAAAAATGCTCCGAAAGTGCCCTCAGTATGGGTTCGATAAAAAAGACCCAAATCCGATTCTTCTATATAGGATTACTTCCATACCATAAGAGCATGGTGGATTCAGCATCAGATGGCTCAATATCCACACGAACAATTGATGGGGCATTGGAATTATTTGAGCGTATGGCTGCCACATTAGCCATGTGGTCTTTTGAGAGGGCTATCCCAAAGAAAACTCCAGATGTCTACGAGGTGGACGCTTATTCAGTAATATCTGCAAAAATTGACTCTCTGTATCACAAGGTGGAAAGCATATCACAAGCATCACAAGCTAAGAAGAGCAATTGTGATGAATGTGGAGCCGGGCACAAAACATCATATTACCCAGTACTCATACAAGGAATTGAGTAAGCAGACTACGCACAGTGGGGACAACGCCAGCAACACAATCAATATGGAGAGACTTTCAATCCCAGCTGGAAGAAGCATCCCAACTTCTCTTGGAGCAACCAGAATCAGAATAAGCCACAAGGGCAATTTCAACAACAAGAGAAGAGGCCTCAATTGGAAGATATGATAGGAAAATTCACGGAGAAAGCCGAAGCTGCACTTCAAAATCAAAATGCAGCCATCAAAAATTTGGAAACTCAGATAGGGCAGCTAGCCATCGCATTGACTGGCAGAACGCCACGTAACTTACCAAGTAATACAAAAATCAATCCTAAAGAGCAAGCCAAGGCCATTACAACTCGAAGTGGAGTACAATTGCCTAAAATCCATGTCAAGAGACCGGGTGTGATTGGAGAGACATCTTCCCCCGCTGAAGAAGAGACTGTTGCAAAGGAATCAAGTTCAAAGAAAATTCAGAAGAGTCACAGGATAAGGCTAAGGTCACAGTCAACCCCTACGAGCATCCGATTTCCTTTCCACAGCGATTGAAGAAGCAAAAAGTGGAGCAACAATACAAAAAAATTCTAGAAGTCTTCAAAAAGCTCCATATCAACATCTCACTAATCGATGCACTGTTTCAGATGCATAGCTAAGCGAAATTTCTGAAGGATATCATATCAAATAAACGCAAGCTGGAAGACCATGAGACAGTTATGCTTACGGAGGAATGTAGTGCCAGAATCCAGAATAAGTTCCCACCAAAACTAAAAGATCTAGGGAGTTTTACTGTTCCTTGCAAAATCGGTGAAGTATATTTCGATAAAGCATTATGTGACCTCGGTGCAAGTATAAATTTTATGCCTCTGTCTGTTTTCAGGAAGCTCGGTTTGGGAGAAGCTAAAGCAACCACTGTGACGCTTCAGCTGGCTGACAGGTCATTGACACATCCCAGAGGAATAATTGAAGATGTGCTTATCAAGGTTGAGAAGTTCATATTCCGAGCGAATTTTTTTATCTTGGACATGGAAGAAGACAAGGACGTCCCATTGATACTTGACAGACCATTTCTGGCAACAGGGAGAGCGTTAATTGATGTTCAAAGGGGGCAATTGATCTTAAGATTGGGAGAGGAGCAGATATCGTTCAATGTTTTCAAGGCCATGAAACTGCTAGCAGAATCAGATAACTGTTACCAAGTTGACATCATTGACAAGGCAGTACAGGAAATGTTCTTACTTCACGGCCCATCTGATGCCTATGAAGTATTGCACAATCCCAATCAGTCCAGTCAGAGTCTCTTGAAGTTGAAACATGTGCAAGATTTTTGGAGACCAACCCGCCATACACCTGAAAGAGGCACTTCGAGGAACTGGGGACGGGAAATACAAAGTCACTTCAGCAGGCACCAGTTTTAGAACTCAAACAACTACCGCCACATCTCAAATATGCATATTTGGGGGAGTCAGATACACTTTCAGTAATCATTTCGAATATAGCCAGTGAGGTGGAGGAAGAAAAATTGCTCAGGGTACTCAGAGAGAACAAGACGGCGATTGGATGGACAATAGCAGACATTAAAGGAATCAGCCCTTCTCTGTGAATGCATAAAATTCTAATGGAGGAAAACTGCAAGCCAAGTATAGAGGGTTAGAGAAGATTAAATCCGAACATGAAGGAAGTGGTCAGGGCAGAGATACTGAAATTACTGGATGCAGGAATTATCTACCCAATTTCAGATAGTGCATGGATTAGCCCAGTTCAAGTGGTACCGAAAAAAGGGGGAATCACAGTGGTGAAAAATGAGAAAAATGAATTAATTCCCAGCACAACAGTTACGGGATGGAGAGTTTGCATCGACTATCACAAACTCAATGCAGCCACACGAAAGGATCATTTCTCCCTCCCATTCATTGATCAGATGTTAGAGAGACTGGCTAGACATTCACACTACTATTTTCTTGATGGATACTCGGGCTATAATTAGATACATGTCGCACCAGAAGATCAGGAGAAGACCACTTTCACCTGTCCCTATGGTACTTTTGCCTATCGTAGGATGCCTTTTGGTCTTTGCAACACTCCAGCCACATTTTAGAGATGTATGATGGCGATATTCTCCGCTATGATTGAAATGTTTATTGAAGTTTTCATGGACGACTTCTCAGTGTTTGGATCTTCATTCGATGAATGTCTAGAGCACCTGAATTTGGTCTTGCAGAGATGCAAGGAGACTAACCTGGTTTTAAATTGGGAGAAATGCCACTTTATGGTGCAAGAAGGCATTGTACTCGGGCATCGAATCTCAGCAAAAGGAATTGAGGTGGACAAGGCAAAAATTTAAGTTATTGAGAAGTTACCACCACCTACATCAATTAAAGGAGTTCGTAGTTTCTTGGGGCATGCAAGGTTCTACAGGAGATTTATAAAAGATTTCTCTAAGGTCACTAAACCGTTATGCAATCTGCTAATAAAAGACGTAACCTTTGAGTTTAATGAAGAATGCCTCAAAGCATTCAACACTTTAAAGGAGAAGCTTACGACAGCACCAGTAATTGTGGCACCAGACTGGGAACTCCCTTTTGAATTGATGTGTGATGCAAGTGACCACACCGTGGGTGCAGTATTAGGACAGTGGAGGAACAAAATCTTTCACGTAATTTACTATGCAAGTAGGACTCTAAATGATGTGCAAATCAATTATGCCACCACTGAAAAGGAGCTATTGGCTGTAGTATATACATTCGACAAATTCAGGTAATACCTTGTCGGGTCTAAAGTCATTGTCTACACAGATCATGCTACATTGAAGTATCTACTCACAAAGAAGGATGCAAAGCCGAGGTTGATTCGTTGGGTGCTATTGCTGCAAGAATTCGATATCGAGATACGAGACAAGAAGGGCAGTGAGAATGTAGTAGCGGATCACCTATCCTGATTAGAGCCTGGGGAGTCAGAAGAATTAGTGGACATCAATGAGATCTTCCCAGATGAGCAGATGTTGAGAGGAGATGAAGCACCTTGGTATGTAGATATCGTCAATTACTTGGCCAATTCCATCCCACCAACGGACTACTCGAGTCATCAAAGGAAAAAGTTCTTCGCCGAATTGAAGTATTATTTTTGGGGGGGACCCATTTCTCTATAGGCGAGGGGCTGGTCAGATAATAAGGAGATGCATACCTGAGGAAGAAGTACATGAGATTCTCGAACACTGCCATTCATCTGCATACGCAGGGCACTTTGGGGCTTCAAAAACAGCTGCAAAGATTCTACAATCAGGGTTCTACTGGCCTACACTGTTTAGAGACACATTTGAGTTTGTCAAGAGGTGTGACCGATATCAACGCACTGGGAATATCTCGAGGAGGAATGAAATGCCACTGAATAACATTTTGAAAGTGGAGATATTTGATGATTGGGAAATTGGCTTCATCGGATCTTTCCCCCCCTCGTTCTCAAATCATTATATCTTGGTAGCAGTGGATTACGTATCAAAATGGGTGGAAGCAGTTGTACTGCCAACAGATGACTCAAAGGCAGTAATTGGGTTCTTGAAGAAATATATTTTCACCCGATATGGCACACCGCGGGCTATAATTAGCGACGGGGACAAGCACTTCTGTAATCGCTAGTTTGAGCATTTGTTGAATAAATATGGCATTAAACACCGCGTTGCTACTCCATATCATCCACAAACCAGTGGGCAAGTTGAGGTATCTAATCAGCAGCTGAAGAGAATACTCGAGGTCACTGTGAACTCATCTAGAAAGGATTGGTCTAAAAAGTTAGATGATGCATTATGGACTTACAGAACAGCATTCAAGACCCTGATAGGCATGTCTCCATACCGCCTAGTCTTTGGAAAAGCGTGCCATCTGCCACTAGAAATGGAGTACCGAGCATATTGGGCTATGAAATAGTTGAATATGGACTTGAGCACCGTCGGTGAAAAGCGTCTACTACAACTTAATGAGTTAGATGAGTTTAGAATGGAAGTTTACGAAAATTCAAAACTTTACAAGGAATGAACCAAGAAGTGGCACGACATGCATATTCAGAGACGAGAGTTCGAAGTGGGGCAGAAAGTGCTATTGTATAACTCGAGACTCAAGCTTTTCCCAGGAAAACTAAGATCAAGGTGGTCGGGTCCTTATACTGTCACGAAGGTCCTACCATATGGGGCTATACAAGTGAGCCATGAGACTAATGGTACCTTCACTGTTAATGGGCAAAGACTGAAACACTACTAGGGCGGTGACTTCTCCAACCAAAAGTCCACCGTTCAATTCGAGACGCCAGAATGAAGCAGCTGCAGAAAAGTCGAGCTATCGACTATAACCTAGCGCTAGCTGGGAGGCAACCCACTGTATCCTTTTTTTATTTAATTTATTATGCTCTCTGCATTAGATTAGGAATTATTATTATTATTATTATTATTATTATTTTAATTTCATTTTGCATTTTTTGTGGTCATCGATCATCCATACATGTTAAAAGAGTCCAAGCACTGTTTACACGAGTCCCTAAGTATCACACATGAGTTTGAGTTGATTGGAGTAGTTTGGGTGATTGTGTGTGGAATTCACGTATTTTGAGGTAAATTTTATTTTCTAAATTTCACATGTCAATGTGTGACTTTGAATACAAAAATTTGGTTTTGGGTACTAAGTTTAAGACTCATACATGTCTTAGAATGTTTAGAAGTATGTTTTTTTTTGAAAAATTGGGGACGTTGAGAACCGGGTCAATTCATCAATTGAAAACCAAAATTTTAGTCAAAAGTCGGGTTTTGGGGGATATCAAATGTGTTTTATTTTATTCCTATTATTATTATTATTTTTCCTTCATATGCAAAATCATATTAAAAAAAAAAAAAAAATTTGTGCGACCGCACAAACAGAAGCCACGAATTAAGTGGCCAAAGCCACTTGAACCATGCGACCGCAGAGCTTAAAGCCATGCGGCCGCATGGCAAAAATAAGCCGTGGGTTTTTAACCCACGCCCGGTTCCTTCATTTACACTCGATATTTTTCCCCCCAAATTCTCTCGCAACCAAACCATCCAAGGGCACGATTACTACACTTGGTTCAGTTCGAGTCACATATACTACACACAAATCTCATTATTGAAGTGTAATATCATCGAAAGGAAATCAATTTTTGAACTCAATTCAACTCTACAAATACAAGGTAAGTGTTCTTAAATCCCTCTCGATTCCGTCTTAGGGTTAGTCACGTTTGAAATTTCAATTTTGAGGATTTGAGGGAGATTGGGCTCATTCATGTATGGGTGGATTTGATGTGATTGTGTTGTGAGAACTATGGAATGATTCTAAAACTCAATTCATTACATTGGTAATACCTTCACCTTATGCGTGCTATATGTTTGATGAAATGCCACAATGACTATTCTATGTTTTATGGTGCTTCTTGCATTGCTTGTGATTGGTGGATGAATTAAAATACATATTGTGATGCATTCCTATGTACATTAACTAGAAAGGCACTCATATCATAGTAATAGATGCTAGATTGTTGAATGTGTGTCCTTTTGGGCATGACTTAAACTTCAATTGTTGGAATTCTAGAGATCCCATACAATGACATGCTACATGTTTGATCCATTGTCAATGTGAAATGAGTTATGCATTTTAGTAAATTTGTGCATTGGATATACAAATTGGGGTAATGTGATGAATTCCCGTAACACATGAATAGGAAATTTCAAGAACCAAACTTGATTATACAAAGGCACATGATTAGGTCACCGCACACGGCACCCTCCGTCGCCTACTTTGCATCTTCATTTAACACATCAAACGACGTCCAATTGGGTTGAAATCGAGTACGTGCTACACTTCAATGAATACTTTGATATGCCCAGAGATTGCCTGGATAAATTTTGATAATTCTCAATGATATCAAGGGCCGAAAGTATGCACTCGGTCATGGTTCCAAATTCTGAAATATTGCTTAGTTACGCCGAGTTTTTCTCCAACTTTCATATTGGCAAAATACTTGAATTCAATTAAACATCATATCTTGATTGGTGCACACCATGTTACTACACATGCATTTAGGAAAGTTTGGGGGATTTGTGCAATGTATATTTTATTTTTCTCATTTCTTGCCTATTCTTTTCACATCGAACTTAATGAGTGTAATCTTACGAACTTTGTAGGATGCCTCCTAAAAGAACTTTGCACGGGAAAGAAAAAGCAAGCTCGGACAGCTCGTACTCGAGACCTCGCGGGAGAAGTTCAGCGATTCTTAACTGCAACTACCGCTGCACGATATGAAAACATTGTACGCCATTGGACTTTACATGCTGAAAGACCCGTTAAGCTTGATGACTTCCCGGGTTTTGAGTTGGTTAATTTAATTCAGCTCTGTGGATGGTAAAAGTTAGTGGAGAGACCACATCCACTCTATGAGACTTTATGCCGAGAGTTCTTTGCCAATTTCAACAGTGACATTGACACGCCAGGCTCCAAGCATTTCCATCAGACTTGGGTGCAGGGGAAATGGATTATGTTCTCTCTCGAGGTCATCCATGATTACTGCCAACTTACCATGGAAAATGTGGTCATTCTCCCAATTGACTTTCACTGGAATGAGGTGGCTGAGGTTTTAATGGGGCGGGAGAATGCATGGCCCCTTGAAACTACCGAGCGGCATCAGATTGAGCTTACCCCTTCCATGGCCATTCTATGGCTCTTTATGTGCCACAATGTCGAGCCCATATCAGATAGGACTACATTTCCATATCAGACAGCAGGATTCATTTACCACTTGGCTCGAGGTAACAAGATTGATCTCGCTACTCATATATACAATCAACTACACTCATTGGGAACTTGGAGAGATCGACGCTCCATTTTGATATTCCCGAGCCTCATTAGTGGCATATGTCGGGCTGTGAGTGTTGCCCTTCTACCTGAGTAGTTACCTGAAACCCCAACCCCATGATCAAATGAACTACATTTGACACTCAGACAAGGGCTCGGGTTAAGTACAGGGAAGAGCAGGAAAATGAGCGACGTAGACAGCAGGCGGAACAAGGCTAAATCCCTAAAGATCAGGAACACCCATGGGCTCCAGCACCACAAGCTGACATGGACAATCAGTTGCAGAGACAGATCTTGTCCACAACCACGGGAATTAGCCGGGACCTTCACAGTTTCTTTCAAGATTTTGGCACCATGAGGACTAAATTGGGAAGTTTACAAAGAGACAATCACCTTGTGTTGAACTATATCATAGATGCTAGGGATCATGCTACAGTTATGCGACGGGAGGTTGATACCATGAATGGTCGGCTGAACATGTATGTTGGTTGGGTGGACGGAATCCAAATGAGGGTCAATGAAACTTGGGAGACCATGAGAGCTATCTAGGCCGAGCAGACGTAGTAGTCTACCTTGATGCGGGAAATGAATGAGATGATGCGGCAGCTCCTTGAACGACACCCTCCTCCGCCGGATGATGGTACAGCAGGACCCAGTTTCCCACCACCTTATCCATTTTGATTCAAGGGAAGTACTATTTACCACATTTTGGATTTTCCTTTTTACGTTTTTCGTAAAATTCTGTCTTTAATCTTCTGTTAATTTTACATTGAAGACAATGTAGTAACAAAGTTTGGGGAGGTGACATAATTTTTACTAAGTATCTGTGTTATCTGTGTTCATCGGTATGTGTGCATGAAAAAAATTGCATTTTATTTAGTTTTGATTTAATTCTTTTCATGCATGCTTGTATGGTCTTGATAACCTTGCTAGCTATGATGTTATAATTGGACTAGTTTAAACTGCAAAGTCTTTGGATCTGATGCAACTAGGCTAGCTGACACTTGTTGATGCAAAACTTGACATTATCTGTGCCCACTATTCATGCTTGATATATTAGATAAATGACTAGATTTTGAGCATAAAATAGGAAAAGAATGATAACATTCTATTGAATTAAACTGTAAACTGCCTTAAGATAGTTTGGTGATGATTGAGCTATTGTAAGAGAGCATTGAGATGAATGGAGGCTCCATGCACGAATTTTATTGTATGGATTGTCTAGACCAGTGAGGTGAAAATTAGGTGAAAATCTTAAATTAAGGGTTAGTTTTGGAAACTAAATGTCTAGAACAATAAGGGGCATAAAATAAATTTGTAAGAACAATACACTTCTTTTCATGCCTTTATGACTCGAGCAAGTAAGCCTGTAAGGATATTTTAAAATCTGGTGCCCTAAAGTCAACTGGCTTGGGAGTCACCGGCCTAAAGCTCGCTAAAAGGGTCATATAGAAAGCAAGAGGGAAAGAGGTTAATTGAAAGTCATCTGATCGAGCCTTTATAACTCGAGTGAATAAGCCTGCAAGGATTTAAAACCTGGTGCCCTAAAGCCAACTGATTTGGGAGTCACCGGCCTAAAACTCGTTACATGGGTTATACAGAAAGCAACCGAGGAAATGAAACTGAAAAAAAGAAAAAATGAGAAGCTTAATAATAAAATCAGAAAAATTAGAGAAAAGAAAGACGATAACATGAAGAAAAGCCTTTGGACATTTGGTAAAAGAAACTATATCTTTGAGGCGAGGTAAGTAACTTAGTTTAATCTTGAGTGTCGAAGCTATCAAACTTAGGAGAGCCTTCACTTGTTGAAATGTAAACTTGTGATAGTGAGATTAATCCAAACTACGAGAGGGTGAGGACTACAGCTATGTGAATTCCTAGTTTCGAAACACAACCCTGGGATAATTGAAAAAAAAACATAAGTTTGGGGGGTTGTGTATCTCTCGAGCGAGTAAGGATAGAATTGACCACTCAGGGTCGGGACTCAAATCCATCATGAACCTAATATGTTGGCATGAACTCACACACACACGTCAAGTACGCATTTAACAGGCGAAGGTTGATGTCATTTT